CACTGGGCTACTGTTAGCAATATAAAGAAGAAAAAAATGAAATGATTTAATAAGTTTAAAAAAAAATATCCCAGTGTTGGGACCAGCAGATGGTATAATGGTTATGTCGCTGGACTCCCAAGTAGTTGTGGTTGACTGAGGTTCGAGTCCCAGACCCAGAGGCTTAAAACTCACCCCTGGGGGCCGGCAGGTGGTATAGTGGTTAAAGGCGCTGGATTCCCACCTGAATGACCACAGTTCAAGTCCCAGATCTGGCGGCTTGCTTTCTCACCCTTTTCCTTTCTTTCTCTCTCTGTCTGGCCAAACTAAAAAATAACAAATGGAATTAAATAAATATATAATTAAAAAAAAAAAAAAAAAACTCATGTCTGGTGCATATGTGGGCGTGCCCAAAATCCTAAGAGGAGAATGGAGGCGAGCACCCACACTCTATGGCAAATACCCTCACTCTTAAAAAAAAAAAAAAAAAAAAAAATCCAGTGTTCAGGGTCTGGGTCGGTCCACAGCTTCTTCCTGTATTCTTGCAGAGGCAAACAGAACAAAATCAACACAATGAATTGTGTGGTTACTAAATACAGGAGTTACGCCTACAGCGTCGGCCGCTCAGTGGAGACAATAAGTTGGGGGGCCCATGGTGTGGGGATCCTCTGCACAGGGACTGCAGAACGGTGGTCTTAGGCGTTTCTCAGCGGTACCTTCGGGCCGTTCTAAGAGTAGCACTGCCCCCTAGTGGACATCGGGGAATCTCGCTGCTTTTCTCTCCCCTTAATTTGCCACAGGGCACGTGAGCTTGCAGGAGAGGGACAGAAAGAGAGAGAGAGAGAGAGGGAAAGCGAGAGAGCATCACCCCTCCACGGGGTAGGGTCACACAGCAATCCCATCCCCTCCATTTCTGCTTCAATCCAGGATCTGGGACACGCACGCACACGTGCTAGGTCTGGGACTCAAACCGCACGGTTGGCTATGTGGGATCCAGGCCACCTGCTGGTCCCCAATTACTGCTTTGACTTTTTTCTTTCTTTTTCTTTCTCTCTTTCTTCTTTCTTTCTTTCTTCTTTATTTCTTTTCTTTCTTTCTCTCTCTCTTCTTTTTGTTAGAGGGCCCCTGGGCTTGCCAGAGAAAGAGGGAGGAGAATGCATCCCACGTGGGGAATGATCACGCCACAACCCCTTCTCCTCCATTTCTCTCTGCTTTGGTTTGATGCGTGCACCCTGTGTTTCTCGAGCAATCCAGGACTCACACGCAGTGGGTCCTGTGCAACCCGGCTGCAGCTGCTGTAATTAACCGCAGCTCTGCTGAGACTTTCAAACTCATCTTCCGAGTCCCTTCTACTCTCTGGTCCTCCACCCAGCGGCTAGAGTGGGCTTCTTGTTTATTTATTTATTTATTTTTAAAGAGTTATTTTAACGTTATTTGTTTATTTATTTATTCATTTTAATTTGACTGGAGAGGAACAGAGTGAAAGAGAGAGAGAGGGAAAACGAGACAGCTAGCCACCAGGTCTGGGACTCGAACTCCAGTCAACCACGTAGGAGTCCAGCACCCTTGATCACACCACCTGTTGGCCCCTTCTTAAAAAAAAAATTATGCAATTTATTCTCTATCATTATTATTATTTTTTTTAACTGTTTGCTACAGTGTAGGAGCACTCACCAGAGAGAGACAGAGAAAGAAGGAAATGAGAAAGCAAGCCACCAGGACTGGGACTTGAAACTGCAGTCAACCATGTGCAAGTCCAGCACCTTAACCACCATGCCCAACCTGCTGGCCTCCAGAGTGAGGTTCTTTAAACATAAACATAAAATCTGGGAACAGCAGATGGTGTAATGGTTACATTGCTGGACTCCTTTGGGGTTGGCACAGTTCAAATCCCGGACCTCATGCTGGGCACGTGTGCACGCATGCCCAAATTCCCAAGAGTAGAATTGAGGAGAATGGATTGCAGCATGATCGTACCCCGTGGAGGGTGATTTCTCTCTTTCTCTCTCTGTCTCTCTGGTGAGCACACGCCTTATAACAAATCTCTCTCTCTCCCCCTCCCTTCCTCTCTCAGGCTAGGAGGTTGCATGGTGGTTAAGGTTGCTGGACTCCCACATGACTGCCTGCAGTTTGAATCCCAGACCTGGTGGCCTGCTTTCTTACTTTCTCTCATTCTGTCCCTCTCTGGTCAAATAAATATAAGTAAATAAATAAGTAAAGTTAATAAAAATAAAAAAAAATATTCTTTAAATAAACAACTAAAAAAAAAAAAAAAAAAAACCCAAACCCTCAAACCAAAATCCCTTTTCTACTTAAAATACAATGGAAGGCCTTCACATGACCCCCATCTTTGCGATCTGATCCCCACCATCGCTAACCACCATCATCTTTGAATGACCACATGTCATTCAAACTGTGGTCGGACCGACAAAACAGACCTCCATGTGGGAGCTGGTTACAAACGTAATCTGTCAGGCCCCACTGTGCCCGCCCTGTTGCTTCAGAAACTTGAGTTTTAAGATCCACGGTCTTCTCCCTCGCTGAGGATACTTATATTCCTTAGCCCCGGTACTTCTTGGTGGTGGTGGTGGTGAGGAATGCTTTAGTGTTTCTGCACCTGTTGCAAGGGGCAAATGAGAAATCACCCCCAGTTGGGATGGCCATACTGCAATCCCTTCCCCTCTTCTCCTCTCCGGATTCTGGGCACCCCTGCACACACGCTTGGCATGTTTTTCAAGCCGCCAGATCTGGGATTCAAACTACTAAATTGTGGGATCCAGCCGCCTTAACCTCCATGCCACCTGCTACACCAGCGCTGGGATATCTGAATGAACTGAATAGTAACAGGTGTGCGGGAACCCAGTGGTCTGCAAGGGGCTAGGGCTGGAACTGGTGGAGAAGATAAGAGAGAGATCTCCAGAAATTGATGCGACCCAGACGAATCTGAAGCTCGCGAATGACCGTGGGAGGAACTGCCCTGGAAGAATCGCGTGGCGCTTGGCCAACACCGCACTCGGAGCTCGCGCAGACGCAGTGCCACTCCGCCGTCGCGCCGGAATTCAAGCACGCATGCGCACAGGCAGTCGCTGAAGGAGGCGGGGCCTGCTCCCCAAGCTGTTCAGGCGGAAGGTAGGCGGGACTTAAAATGGAAGAGAAGGCTTTCCGCTTCCGCCGCGGGCCGGAAGTTGCTGTTTCCCGGGTGAACAGAGCCGTCGCGACGAGGAAAGCGAGCGCAGGTGACTGTTCTCGTGGACGGGCGTTAGGGCGTTGGGCCCGCGGGGCGGGGCGCTCTTCTACCCGGGGGTGCTCTCGGGGTCATGGGTGAAACGTCGGGGGTC